GGACAGAGGTGGGGGAGATGACAGGGGTGGGGGAGATGGACAGAGGTGAGGAGATGGACAGAGGTGGGGGGGATGACAGAGGTGAGGAGATGGACAGAGGTGGGGAAGATGACAGAGGTGGGGGAGATGGACAGAGGTGAGGAGATGGACAGAGGTGGGGGAGATGACAGAGGTGGGGGAGATGGACAGAGGTGAGGAGATGGACAGAGGTGGGGGAGATGACAGAGGTGGGGGAGATGGACAGAGGTGACGAGATGGACAGAGGTGGGCGGATGACAGAGGTGGAGAGAGGTGTGGACAGAGGTGGGGGAGATGACAGAGGTGGGGAGATGACAGAGGTGGGGGGATGACAGAGGTGGGGGAGATGACAGAGGTGGAGGGAGAGATGGACAGAGGTGGAGGGAGAGATGGACAGAGGTGGGGGGATGACAGAGGTGGGAGAGATGACAGAGGTGGGGGAGATGGACAGAGGTGAAGAGAGATGACAGAGGTGGAAAGAGGTGTGGACAGAGGTGAGGGAAGATGGTCAGAGACAGGGGGAATGGATGTGGACAGAGGTGGAAAAAGAGTTCCGAGAGCCAGAGATGGGCAGAGGTGAGCAGACACGGAGAGAGACGGGCCGAGTTGGGGAGCTGGGGAAAGGGAGAGACATGGGACAGAGGCGATTGACGGGGCAGGACAGCAGCGGACAAGAGGCAGAGAGAAAAATAGGGAAGGATGGTCAGAGATGGGACCTGGTGCGCCAGATGGAGGAGGGGCGGAGACCAGGAAGAGGTGGAATGAGCCCTGGGAAACGAGAAAGAGGGGAGAGAGAACAGGGGGTTGGGGGGCCCAGACGGGGTGTGGAGCCAATAGTGGGCTGCCCCCCGCCCCCATCCACAGAGCTCCCTGCTGCTGCTGCTGCTGCTCAGCCCCGGCCTCCGCGGGACCCCCGACTGTTCCTTCAGCCACAGCCCCATCTCCTCCACCTTCACTGCCACCATCCGCAAGCTGGTGAGGGCCCTGCTGCCATCCTCCTTCGCGGTCCTTTCCCAGGGGAGGTTCTGTCACTGGGTCTGAGTGCCCCCCGTCTAGGTCTCTGTCTTTGCGGGTCCCTGTCCCCCTCTCTCTGGGTCTCCACAGCTCTCTTTCCTCCTGTCTGCAGCCAGGCCTGACCCTGTTTTCTCCCGCAGTCCGACTACCTGCTTCAAGATTACCCAGTCACGGTCGCCTCCAACCTGCAAGACGTGAGTGGCAGAGGGGCGGGGCCTGGAGTGGAGGTGGAAAGGAGAGGCTCCAAATGCACCACCCCTCAGGGAACCAGGCTGGTTGGCTGACCCAGCCGCCTCCTCCCCTGGGAGCCAAGAGTCCCAGCCCCCAGCCCCTCTTTCTCCCAGCCGCATGCATCCAAGGCCCCAGCCCCCGCTGCCCGCGGGGCCCAGACTTGGGTTGTCCCTCCCCAGGACGAGCTCTGTGGGGCGTTCTGGCGCCTAGTCCTGGCCCAGCGCTGGATGGGACGGCTCAAGACCGTGGCTGGGTCCAAGATGCAAAACCTTCTGGAGGATGTCAACACCGAGATACTCTTTGTCACCTTATGTGCCTTCCAGGTCAGCCCTGAACTTGGGGGACAAGTGAGGGGAGCGAGATGCCTTCCTAGAGATTGGAAGTCAAGCTCTGTGGGTCTCCCTGGAGATTTCTGTTGACAGTAGCAACCCAAGGGAGGAGGAGCTGGAACCCCAGTCTCCCTGGGGGCCCCATTGCTGGGAAACAACACTTCTCTAGGCCCCAGAGGATGGTGAAGGGTCTGGGCCTGATGCGTCAATTCTGAGTTTATTTCTCAGGCCCTGTTGCAGGACGTTGCCAAGGGGTTCTCTCCCCTAGCAACCAGGAGAAAGAGGGGATCTAAACTCCCTCTGGACCCAGGTCTGATTGGGCCCTGTTGCCGGGCGTTGCTAAGGATGCTTCCCCTAGCAACCAGTGGCATCAGGGGTCCAGACTCTGAGACCCAGCCTCACTGGGCCCTGTTGCTGGGTGTTGCTGAGGATGCTTCCCCTAGCAACCAGGGGGATCAGGGGTCCAGACTCTGAGACCCAGCCTCACTGGGCCCCATTGTTGGGCATTGCCGGCAGGGAAGGCCCTTGGCCTGAGACGCCGGGGGTGATGCGGTGGTGACGTCTCCCTCCCCTGCCCCCAGCCCCTCCCCAGCTGTCTTCGCTTCGTCCAGACCAACATCTCCCACCTCCTGCAGGACACCTCACAGCAGCTGCTGGCCCTGAAACCCTGGATCACCCGCCGGAATTTCTCCCGGTGCCTGGAGCTGCAGTGTCAGCCGGGTAAAGGCTTCCAGCACCCCCCAGCCCCCCAACCCACCCCTCTTCCCACCCTCACAGCCCCTTACCCCCTCCCACTGGCTGCGTGACATTGGGCATGTTCCCCCAAGTTCATTCTCCTTTCTGGGCCTCAGTTTACCCATCTCTGAGAAGGGAACAACAGTCCCTGCCCGTTTCTTTACGGCAGCCCTGTGTGATAGAAATAGGAGAGCCATATGTTGAAGTGTAAATTTTCTAGCAGCCAAGTTAAAAAAAAAAAAGTGAATTCACTTTTTTTCAGGAATTTTAATGTTCTTTATTTTTTAGCAAGTTACTAGTTTGATTTTTTTCTTTTTTCACGGGGTGGGGGTGGTGAGGAAGATTAGCCTTGAGCTAACATCCATTGCCAATGCTCCTCTTTTTGCTAAGGAAGATTGTCCCTGGGCTAACATCTGTGCCCATCTTCCTCCATTTTATGTGGGACGCGCCGCCACAGCATGGCTTGATGAGCAGTGCATAGGTCCACACCCGGGATCCGAACCTGGGAACCCCAGGCCGCCAAAGCGGAGTGTGCGGACTTAACCACTATGCCACCGGGCCAGCCCCTGATTTTTTTATTTTGGAAGAATTATAGATTCACAGGAAGATGCAAAGAAATGCACGGGGAGGTCCAGGGCACCCTTTACGCAGCCACCCCAATGTTGCATTTTGCCTGTTGACGTCAATTATAAGACAATATCAAAACCAGGAAATTGACATGGGCACACTCCACAGAACGTATTCAGATTTTATCAGTTATACATGCACTCGCTTGTGTGTGTGTGTGTGTGTGTGTGTGTGTGTGTGTGTGTGTGTGTCTGTGTCTGTGTCTCAGTGTGTCAGTGCTCGGGCTGCTGTAACAAACTACCACAACCCAAGTGATTTAAACAACAGAAGTTTGTTGTCTCCCAGTTCTGGAGGCCAGAAGTCCAAAATCAAAGTATTGGCAGAGTTGGCTCCTTCTCAGGGCTGGGAGGGAAGGATCTGTTCCAGGCCTCTCTTCTTGGCTTGTCGATGGCCATTTTCATGTTCCCATGGCATCTTCCTCTATGCATTCTCTGTGTCCTGATTTCCCCTTTTTATAAGGACACCAGTCTTATTGGATTAGAGCCCAGCCTAATGACCTCATTTTAACTTAATTACCTATTTAAAGACCCGTGTCTCCAAATAAGATCACATTCTGAGGTACTGGGGGTTAGGACTTCAATATAGGAATTTTGAGGGCCACAATTCAACCCCTAAAAGTGTGTGTGTGTGTGTGTGTGTGTGTGTGTATCTATGCAGTTTTACCATGGGTAGCTTCCTATTGTCGCCACCACAATCAAGATACTTAACTTCGGGGCTGGCTCAGTGGCATAGTGGTTAAGTTCAGCATGCTCCATTTCGGTAGCCCGGGTTCGTGGGTTCAGATCCCAGGCACGGACCTACGCCACTCATCAAGCCGTGCTGTGGCGGTGTCCCACATACAAAATAGAGGAAGATGGGCCGGCTCCGTGGCTTAGCGGTTAAGTGCGTGCGCTCTGATGCTGGCGGCCCGGGTTCGGATCCCGGGCGCGCCCCAAGGCACCACTTCTCCGTCCAACGCGAGGCCGAGTCCCACGTACAGCAACTAGAAGGATGTGAACCTACGACATACAACTATCTACTGGGGCTTTGGGGGGAAAAACATGAATAAATAAAATCTTTAAAAAAAAAAAAAAAAAAAAAAAATAGAGGAAGATGGGCACAGGTGTTAGCTCAGGGCCAATCTTCCTCACCAAAAAAAAAAAAGAAGATACTTGACCCCGCCTCCTAACAATTCCATCCCTAACCCCTGGCAACCACTAATCTGTTTTCTATAATGACATCACTGAATTTAATTTTAATAATTATTTTTAATAATTAATCATTTAAATCACAAATTTTATTTAACCCAATATTTCCAAAATAGTACCATTTCAATACATAGTCAATATTTTAAAAAACTAATTTAGTGAGTTATTTCACATCCTTTTTTTCCCACTAAGTCTTTAAGAATCCAGTGTGTATTTTCCACTGACAGCGCATCTCAATTCAGACCAGCCACAGGCCACATGCTTGACAGCCACGTGGGGCAAGTGGCTGCAATATTGGACAGGCCAGTGCTAAAGTATCAAAATGAAATAACTTTATTGCAATATGATGAGAGACTATGCCCTGTGAGAACGCAACTTTTTCAGTTTATTCATGTTTTCTTTGTGGCCAAGTATATAATAAGTTTTGTAACTGAGCATGGTCTTAGGAAAAGAATAGATTATTTTTTTGGTAGGATCAGAGTTGAATCTGTGTATATATAGTCTGTCAACCTTATGGTATTACTCAGAGTCTTTTTGTCCTTCTTATATTTGTCTATAGATCTGTCAAGTTCTGAGAGGGATATTAAAAAATCTCCCACTCTAATTATATTTTTCTCAATTTCTCCCTACACTTCCAATCATTTTGTCACTTCTATTTAGCTTCATTTGTCATTCGTATTTACATTTATGACTCTTCATTTATTCAACCAAGTTTTATTAACCATCTCCTTGGTGCCTGGCATTGAAGACACAGCACGGAACAAGATCAAGTCCGTGCACATGTAGGGCTGACATGTGAATCAGGAGACAGACAATAAACATGTAAACAAGTAAATAAACAGGAAAATATTTGAGTATGACAAGCCTATGCAGGCAAATTAAAACGGGGTGATGGAATCATGGTTTGAGGTGACTGGCTGGAAGGTCACTGAAAGTTGGGAATAAGAACAGGCAGTGGAAAGGCCCTGAGGCAGAAACCTGCCTACGTGTTCAAGGAATAGTGAGGAGGCCCCTATGGCTGGAGCTGAGCGAGGGAGGGGGAGAGCGTGAGGGATGAGGATACAGGGGGAACAAAGGGGGCCAGATCGGGTGGGGCCTTATGGGCCATCATAGCTTCATACATTGTATCATTTATTGTTTTATTATTTTATTCAAATATTTATGTAAATTAAACTATTATAGTAGTATTTAGCGATCACTAAGTAGTAGGTTCTGGTGATAAATAAGACAGATAAGGCTCCTGTCGCCCACATGGAGCTCACAGACTATTGGGGCAAGGAGATGAATAAACAAATTGATACATAAACTCTAGAAATATATTTGTCCAATTGGAAAATAAAATACAACCTGACTATGTGCCAGACACTGTTCTAAGCACTTTCTGTATATCCACTCATGTCATTTTTGTAACAACCTTATGAGGTGGGTACAATGATTACCCCATTTTACAGATGAGGAGACTGAGGCACAGAGAGGTGAGCAGCCCCCCCGAGGTCACACAGCCAGCACCAGACAGGCTTTCTCTCCTTCCCTGGCCCTGCCCTTCTCCCGGGTCACCCAGCCTCCTCTCTCCCCCCAGACTCCTCCACCCTGCTGCCCCCGAGGAGTCCCGGGGCCTTGGGGGCCACAGCCCTGCCGGCCCGTCAGGCCCCTCTGCTGCTCCTTTTGCTGCTCCTGCTGCCCGTGGCCCTCCTGCTGCTGGCCGCTGCCTGGCGCCTGCACTGGGGAAGGAGGAGGCGGAGGACGCCCCGCCGCGGGGAGCGGGTGAGCGGGCACGGCGGGCAGAGGGGTGGGGAGGGCTGAGGGGTGGCCAGAGGCCCCAGTTGCCCAGCTGCGGCTGACCCCGTGGGGGCCACGGGTGCCCCCCACCCCCAGTCCCCAGGACGTACTGCCTCTGTGGCTCGTGGAGCACTGACTTGGTGAGTCCTTCACCAAGCCGAGGATCCTGGACTGGGTGTGTGTCGGGCGGGTGGCATGAGGAGTCACGGGAAGGCTGTGAGCAGGGGAGGGGTGGCGCACCTCTGGATGCAGGAAGATCCCTCTGGGACCATGATGGGGACAGACTGGAAGAGAGAGGCTGGAGGCCAAAGAGGAGGCTGGGTGAGGGTCCAGGGAGAGAGGGCACGGCCTGGGCCAGAGCTGGAACCGGGACCATGAGGATGGAGAGGAGGGGACAGACGTGGAGGCAGAGGCGGGGGGCAGGGATCACGAGGGGCAGGGCTGGAGACCCACAGGGTTTGGGGGGCTGGCACAGACGACCCTAGGTGTGGCCCAGTGGGGCACCTGGGGGAAGAGGGAGATTAGGGAAGGACAGTGAGCTCCGTGGGGACCTGTGGGCGTGAGGCACCCGGAGGAGGTGTTTGAACACAGGAGTCTGCAAGCCGGGAGAGGGTGGCTTCCTGGAGCAGGCGGGGGGCGCTGCCTTTGCAAAGCCCTCTAGGTGGGAAAAAACTCAGGGTGTTCCAGGAACTTCAGCCAGCCTGGGGCAGGTGTGGGTAGGGGTTTGAAAAATGCCACAGGAAAATGTAGGCCTCAGACGCCAGGCAGGGGAGCTGGGACTTCCTGCCCAGAACAGCAGCGAGCCATGGAGGCGAGTGATGGAGAAAAGAACCTGGGAACCACTGCGGGGGCAGGAGACAAATGGGCCAGGGAGGAGGAAGGAGGAGAGGCCCAGTGGGTTCCTCAGGGGCCCAGAGGAATCTAACAAGAGCCATTTTGCAGTAATCACTCATACATACAGTGCCTCAGTGACCAGGCCTTGTGCTGGGGCATTCTACAAATTAACTCACTTAATCCAGAAGCTGGTGCCGTTATTATCCTCTTTTCACAAAGGCTGAAACCAAGGCACAGAGAGGTAAATAATTTGCCAAAAGTCACACAGCTCGTGAGTGATAGAGCCAAGATTTTACTCTGGGCCTTCTGGTTCCAGCCTCTGTGCCTTTCTCTCATTCTTCTGCCTCAGTTTCTTTATTTGTACAAAAGACTCTAATAATAGTCCTTTTACCATAGAGGTTAAATGAAGTGACACATGCAAAGCCCTTAGAGCAACGCTGTCCAACGGAAATAGAACACAAGCCACAGGTGTGATTTCAAATTTTCTCGTAGCCACACTTTTTTTTTAATAAAAAGAAAACAGGTTACTTTAAATATTTTATTTCACCCTGTGTATCCAAAATGTTGTCATTTCTACGTCATCAATATTTTTAAAAATTATTAATGAAATGTTTTACATTTTTTTCAAACCAAGTCTTCAGAATCCAGTGTGTGATTCTACACTCACAGCACAACTCGATTCAGACGCTAAAGTTTTAACAGAAATACTTGATATGTATTAAGATTTCATGAAACTTACAGTTGCAAAAGCAGATTCGTATGTTGTTCGCAAAATACAGAAGTTTTCCAGTTACTGGATGGAGGATCAGTTTCTAAATTTAATGATTCTTCCTTCCTTTTGGCTGGAACCACCATCTTCCAGTGATTTGCCAAAATGACCGACACACAGCGAAAGAGGAGAGGCACCGCTGCCTGTTCTCTAGGCCTTCTAGAAAACATGGAATTGTTCCTTTGGCCACATACGTGCGAATCTATAAGAAAGGTGATATTGTAGACATCAAGGGAGGGGGCGCTGTTCAAAAAAGAATGCCCCACCAATGTTATCCTGGCAAAACAGGAAGTCTACAGTGTTACCCAGCATGCTCTTGGCCCTGTCGTAAAGAAACAAGGTAAGGGCAAGATTCTTGCCAAGAGAATTAATGTCCATATTGAGCATATTAAGCACTAAAAGAGCCAAGATAGGTCCCTGAAACTTGTGAAGGAAAATGATCAGAAAAAGAAGGAAGCCAAAGAGAAGGGTACTTGGCTTCAGCTGAAGCGCCAGCGTGCTCCACCCAGAGCAGCACTTTTCCAGAACCAATGGAAAGGAACCAAGCCACTGGAACCCATTCCCTATGAATTCATGGCATCATAGGTGTAAAAAAAAAAAATAAAAGACCTCTGGACTGTAAAAAATAATGGTAATAATAATAATGATTTTTCATTTCAGCACGTGTTTCTGAACAGTAATTTTTACTATAATTTTTTTGCGGAAAGGAAATACATTGAGAAGTTTTCCCATCCCCCTTGTTCCAGGAACAAGAGAGAGTCACCCTATTTTCCCACGCCCAATAACCACACTATTAGTTTAAGTTTAAATTAGGTAAAATTAAAAATTCAGCTCCCCAGTGGCACTGGCCACATGTGGAGCGCTCAGTATTCACACGTGGCTGGTACTGTGGCTGTAGTGGAGAGCACAGATCGAAAACGTGTCCGTCATTGCAGAGAGTTCTCTTGGACAGCGATGCCCTAACACATAGCGAGTGCTGGCTGTGAATGGAGTTGTTTTCCACACCGAGTCTGTGCAGAGCCCTGAGCTTCCTGCTTTCCTCTCCTCTGTCCACGGATCCTCAAACACCCCGGTGAGACAGACGCATCTATCACCCCATTTTACAGAGGACACAGAGGCCCAGAGAGAGCAGTCACCTGCCAGAGGACACAGAGCCGGAGCTCGGCGGAAGTCAGCTAGAGACTGGTCCCTTCCCCAGCCGTGCTGCCCCTCTCTCTCGCTCTCCAGGATGGAGGCAACACCAGCATCCAGTCCCGGCCCCAGCCCCACCTGCCCCTCTCTGTACAAAGCCCTCATCCCCGGGAAATTGTATATAAATCAACTTTTTCTACCAACGCTGGCCAGGCCTGTCTGTGGATGGGACAGAGTATGAATGGGGCAGTTTGGGTCTGAGTCTTGGTTTTTCCGTTAATGCAATGTTTCATTCAATACCTGTTTTCTGAGGCGTCCTGGGGCCCAGAGCCAGTGCAGGGCAATGCTGGGACCCAGACGTGAGCCAGAACCAGCCCAGCCCTCTCGGGGCTCCTGGTCTATGGGGACCCAGAGAGCCTTGGTACAGGATGACACACGCTCTAATGGAGGTGGCACAGGCACCGTGGGAGCCCGGAGGAGGCACCTGACCCAGCCTGCGATATCAGGGAGGCTCTCTGGAGGATAGTACTCTGGAGCCATAGGGCGCTGGGACTGTGACAGGCCAGATTCTAGAAGATGGGGGTGGAGGGGAAGGGATCCCAGGCAAGGGGCACAACCGAAGCAAAGGCCTGGGGTCCAGAAAGGGAGAAGCTCCTTTGGGGGACGCTCAAGCATCTGGAAGTCATTCCTCCATACATTGAGATCGTATAGGGAAGCCCACCTCTACCTTTTTACAGATGGGGACACTTGAGGCCCAGACAGGGCATGGGGTTTGGCCAGGTCGCAAGCAGAGGAAGGGGCACCCGCAGCCAGATCTCAGCCTAGACTGAGCGCTAAAGGGCAGGCCTGGTTGCCCCCTGCGGGCCACCACGTGCCCTGCAGCCTGCTGTCACTTGAGGGGTAAAAGCGCTGCCCCTTGCAAACCCAGCTCGCGTGAGCGAGACAAGCAGCCCGGCAAAAATACGGCGGCCGAGGCGGGACAGCCCCGCCCCAGCACAGCCACCTCCTCGCCCACGTGATCTCCCGCCCGGCACAGCCATGGCCGCCTAGGTCTGACGGAAAGGACACCGGATTGGACAGTGACAAGAGAACCCGCCTTCTCAGGGGCCTCTCTGCGCACGCGCAAGGCACTTAGGCCAATGAAAAGACAGAGAGCTGCCCGCGCAGCCCGTGTGGCGTCACTTCCGCCGCCCTTGTTGCAGGGATAAGAAACTCTGCGCCGAGACTTCCTTCTTTCCCAGGCGGCTGCCGAAGATGGCGGAGGGGCAGGTGCGGGCTCCTCGCGGGCCGGGGCGGTGTGGGGCCGGGGGCGTCTGGGCGGGAACGGGGCCCTTTTTCTTTTGTACGTATGTTTTGTAACTTGAGCTCGATAATTGGGCAAAATGGGAAGTTTCGGGGGTAGGAGGAATCCGTAACGAGGGAATAGGAGATGCTGGGCCTCTGTGCCCGGGGCTGGCAAAAATGCGGCCTCGTTCCTCTGCGAGGGGCGATGCTGGGCGCCTCCAGCACAGGAAGACTTATTTGTAAACTAGGTCTCGTTTACTGTGATCTTGGCCGGGCCTTGGCCGAATCGGTCCCGTCCACTGTCCCTAGCGCCGGGGAAGCACGCGGAAGGCGGCCGGGCGGCCTGGGGGCGATGAGAAGTCGAGGACTGGCCAAAATGGGGGATACTTCCCCCCTGCCCAAGGTGCGGATGGCTTCAGCCTCACGTGGGAGTGCTAATCGGTGTTTCTCTGCAGCTCTTGGTATTTTGGTGCTGTTGGAGTGCAGAATTTGCCACCCGAAAATATGTCTCTTTGGCATAAGGATTATTTGTAAGAAACTGCAGACACAGGAAAAGCTCTGAAAACTGTTTAGAAGTTATCCATTCGTAGAGACCTTTACATGTATAAGGGGAATTTTTTCCATTTGAAATGATGTCTTCCTCGCTGTACCAGGAAGAGGAGGATGACTTGAAATCTCTAGAAATTTATCAGTGGAGAAGGCATGAGCTTAAATCTGCATAACAATTCTACCCTTGTTTACTGTGTTTTTCCTGGTTATCTCCCATAAGCCCCCATCCCCAACAACTTGGTCTTTAGCTGGCTGTGTTATTAAGGTGGTGATTTTGGCAAGTTACTCGGTTTTGTTTTGAGTCTCTCTCATGTGTATGGGAGGTATTCGTGTTATTAAGCTTTAAATTTTTTTTTCCCTGTTACTGTTACGTCAATTTAATTTTTAGGCCAGCCAGAAGAACTTAGAAAGGTGGAAGGAAATTTTTTCTCTGGGACAGTGCAAAACCTTACGCAGTGGGTCCAGGGAGCACCTGCCTGCAGGGCATTCAGGGACAAATTGCTCTTTTCCTTTCCTTCCGGGGTTGATGGATGCCTTGAAGGTCTCTTGCCGCCGGAAGCAGAGGTTTGTGATGATAGGCTCCCCGGGCCTGGGTCATCTTTTGTTCTTAAGCACCTGGGGGCTCTCAAGGAAAACAGTAGAGGCTTAGCTCTGAGTGCCCTGGCTGCTTATGTAATTAATTACGTATAAAGGAGGGGATGGTTCTAGGGAGGATGTCTTTGTGAGTTTCTCGTAATGAGTCTGTGTGGTTGAGGAAGGAAACCCAAGTTTGGAGCCAGGCAGACCAAGGCAAGTCTTAAAAATCTCGCAGTGTGTGCCCCTCCACTCATTGTGTGCCTGCCACAGTTTGCTTTCTGTTTGGTGTCAATCAGTTAACGTCACGATATTCTTGAGGCAGATATTGTTGCCTTCATCTTAAAGATAGAGAGGTGGAGGTTTTGGCCAGTCACCTTGTCAGGAAGTCTGGCTTCAGATTCTCTTCCCTTCTGCACTGCCTTCCGGACATCACAAAACATAAGCATAAAAATAGGGACTTTTTTTCTTGCCGAAGAAGATTGGCGTTTGCGCAGTTCGCCTGGGGATGCAGAGTTAGTCCATAGCAGAGCCACCGTGGGCTTTTGACTGGCCTCACCCGCTCTGCACCTCAGTTTTCTTTGCCATGATGTTTGTGCTAGAAACTGCTTTACCTTTGAGATCACAAGAGCATTAGATTCTGTCAGGCTTCTGCTTGTATCTCATTGTAACTGGATGATCAGTGTTGCCAGGCTTGGTTCACATCCTCTTACCCTCAGTTATAATCTGGGCATAAGATTTCCTGCCCTTCAAGCAGCCAGGATGTGAGAGGAGTTCTGTGATACGGTACCCAGCTGACTGAGATCCTGAGTTAACCATTTGCTTTCCTAGCCTCATCTTTGAGGTGAGTCTCGGGTTCTAGCTCCCAGGTCTGCTACCGCGAGAGGAAGCGCCATGCGGGATAAGTCACCTGGAAACAAGTAGAAAGCAGTGATTGATAGCTTAGGGTGGGACTCAAAGCTGTGGGTACCTCTGAGCCCTGTCATTCCGTCTCCAGCAGGTCCTGGTGCTCGATGGCCGAGGCCATCTCCTGGGCCGCCTGGCGGCCATCGTGGCCAAGCAGGTGCTGCTGGGTAAGTCTGCCCTCTGCTCACAGCTCCCTGGACGTGAGCTCCGGCCAGAGGTCTGTGATGAGCAACAATCACCATCTTTCGTTTGAGTCTCACGACCATGAGATCAACCCCATGCACCGCTCTGAGACCTGCCAGCAGCTCCGTCCCTGGGGTTGAGGCCTCCGGGATCAAAAAGGCTTTGCTGTTGGGCTGACTTTTAACTTAAGCGTGAATTCAGCTCCACCAATTCCTGCTCTGTGGCTTGGGGCCAGAGGCTCCCCTACCAGGGACTTGGTTTCCTTGTGCATTGTGGTCACTTCCACACGGGAGGATCCCGTTTCCGGGTCCTTAGCGGTAACGGGGCAGGTGGGTGGTGGGTGGGTGTAGGCAGAGCCCTTGGGTGGCTTCCTCACTTTGCCCTCCTTGGTTGCCTCATTTTTCTTTTCCCTCTAGGCCGGAAGGTGGTGGTTGTGCGCTGTGAGGGCATCAATATTTCTGGCAATTTCTACAGAAACAAGTGTAAGTTAGGGCACAGGAGAAGGGCTGAAGAGGGTTGACTGAAGAGAGGTGGTCTGGCTTCATGGGACCCCACAGTGGTGGGAGGTGCTAGTTTGAGTTCCCAAACAGGCCCTTGGGAGTGTGGATGTGGGCTAGGAGAACTTAGTGTTTGCCTGGGGACTGTGAGGCCTCACCCGCTCTCCCCTCTCCCCAGTGAAGTACCTGGCCTTCCTGCGCAAGCGGATGAACACTAACCCATCCCGTGGCCCCTACCACTTCCGAGCCCCCAGCCGCATCTTCTGGCGGACGGTGCGAGGTGAGCTGGGCCTGAGGACTGCGGTGGTGATGGGGTGGGTGGCCCATGATGAGAATTCTCCCACTCGTGTTCGAGTTTCCCAACCATGAGATGACTCCACATGCACTACCATCTGAGGCCGCCTGCCCGCCCGCCCGCCTGGGTGGGGCAGGGTGGGGGTCCTCATGAGCCCCGCTGAGCAGGCCCGCTGTCCCCCTGCCCACAGGCATGCTGCCCCACAAGACCAAGCGAGGCCAGGCCGCCCTGGACCGCCTCAAGGTGTTTGACGGGATCCCCCCACCCTATGACAAGGTGAGCTCGACCACGCCCCCTGTGTGGCATCCACGTGGCCCGGCGTCCGTGATGTTCCACAGTTACCTACATTGTTTGATCCTCATGAGAACAGCACTGGCTGAGACGCCGGCCCCAGCCAGCCTTCTTCGCCATCTGTCCCTCACTCCAGGTCTCTAAGCCCCTCTCCTTCTCTAACAGAAAAAGCGGATGGTGGTTCCTGCTGCCCTGAAGGTCGTGCGTCTGAAGCCCACGCGAAAGGTGAGTTCCGGGGTACACTGGGTGGTCTAATGTGGGGCTCCCAGGCCCACTGGGTGGTGAGCTTGAGGTCCCCAACACTGGCAGATGATGGCTTTTTCTCACGATGGTCTGCGGATGCCACTGTGGGCAGTGCCGATAATGCCAGTGGCTTAGCTGATGCCAGGAGGGGCAGGGAGCCCTTACAGGGGTGGGTGTCTAATCTAAGCTTGCAGAGAAAAATTGGAATAGTAGACCCCCAGGGTCCTCCAGGACAGGTTGTCAGCCCCTCTCCCGTGGCCGCGAGCCCCAGTCCAGGCTCCACTTCCTTAGAACTTCACTCTTTCCCCTCTCTCCCCCCAGTTTGCCTACCTAGGGCGCCTGGCTCATGAGGTTGGCTGGAAGTACCAGGCGGTTACAGCCA